TGGGGGGTCCCAGAGGGATCTTGGGGTGGCCCTGGGGGTCTCAGGGGGGTCCTGGGGGTCTCTTGGTGGTCCTGGGGGGTTCCCGGGAGGTCCCAGGGGCATCTGGGGTGGCCCCAGGGTTGAGGATCCCAAGTGGCCCCAGGGGTCTCAGGGGGTCTTGGGGTGGGCACAGCAAAGGTGGGCGTGAGAAGCCAAATTTTGGGGTGTTCCGGGGAAATTTGGGCGATTCCAGCGGAATTTGGGAAATTTCGGGGTGATTTGTGAGATTTTGGGGTGTGAGGGCAGTTTTAGGGTGACCCCAAGTGGGATTTGGGAGAATTTGGGGGATTTGGGGTGATCCAGAGGTGTCGTGGGAGCGTGGCTGTTTTGGGGGAATTTGAGGCGTTTTTGGGAGCAGCGTGAGGGGAAAAACTGGAGCAACTTTGGGGCAATTCTGGCTATTTTGGGGCTGCTGAATTTTCGGAGAATTTGGGGTAACTCGGGGATTTTCGGGGTGCTGCATGAGTGCAGCATTTCGGGGAAATTTGGGGGATTTTTGGGTGAAACGAGCGTTTGGGGCGTGCAGCGTGAGCAGCATTTTGGGGAAATTTTGGGTATTTTGGGGTGGCGCACAAGCAGAAAATTTTGGGGTAATTCAGAGGATTTTAGGGTAAATCAGGGGAATTTGGGACGCGGCGTGAGCAGCAGTTTGGGGCAATTTTGGGGATTTTGGGGCACAGCTATTTGGGATAACACAGAGGGTTTGTGGGCGCAGCGTGAGAAGCGGTTTGGGGCATTTTTAAGTATTTTGGGGTGCAGTATTTTGGAGCTGTTTGGGATATTTTGGGGTGCCACGTGCTCGCAATAATTTGTGGCAGTTTTGGGGCGCAGCATTTTGGGGAAATTCAGGGTATTTTGGGGTAACAAGGGGTATTTTGGGGGCACCACGTGAGCGTGACAGTTCGGGGCAAATTTGGGCATTTTGGGGCGCAGCGCAAGCGTAGAATTTTGGGGTGACTCGGGGCGTTTCGGGGTGACTCCTGGGGATTTTGGGGTGACTTCGGGGTGAATTTTGGGGTGACTTCGGGAGGGTTTTGGGGTGACTTCGGTGGGGGTCGGGATAACTCGGGGAGTTATGAAGTGATTTAGGGAGGATTGGGGTAACTAAAATTTCGGGGTGACTCGAGGGAGGTTCGGGGTGAATTTTGGGGCGACTCGGGGTGGATTTTGGGGTGACTCGGGAGAGCTTTGGGGCGGTTTTTGGGGTTTTGGGTGCGCGCGGGACGGGCCGGGGGGTGTGTCCCCTTGAGGGGGGCGGGGGTCCCTCTAAGAGAGGGGGGGTCTCCATCTCCCACCCTAACGGGGACAACACCGGAATGGCGACACTGACAGAATTTTGGGGAGGGACTAGGGGGGGTCCCCAAATTTCGTAGCGGGGTTGTTGGGAGGAGGGGGGGGCCCGGCATTTTGGGGTCTCACGGAGGAAAGGGAACGGAGGTCCCCCCATTGCGGAGGGGTCCCGCGGAAGGCTCGGGGGGTCCCACCGAGGGTTCCCCGGACCTGGGGGGCTCCTCCCGCCCCCCGGGGGGGCCGCGGCCGCTCGTGACGCACTCGCGGCGCTCGCAGCCCCCCCCCCAGCCCTCACACACACACACACCCCCCCCGCCCGCCATTCCCGGTTCCCGCCCGGCCCGTGAGGGGAAGGAAAGGGGGGGGGGGGCGTGAGGGAGAGAGGAGGGGGGGGGGGCGTCGCCCCGCGCGCGCGCGCGCGCGAGACCCCCCCCCCCCCTCCGCCTCTCCCGCTCCCTCACAGCTTTCCCCAACACCCGCCGCGGCCCCCCCCGGCCCCGCCGCCCCCTCCTCACTCACAGCCGCCCCTCGTCGCCGCTCGGCGCCGCCGCCGCCATTTTCTTCGCAGCGAAGAACCCGCGGGGGGGGGGGGGGGGGGAAGCTGAGGGGGGGGGGCCGGGAGGGGGGGGGCGGGAGGGGGGGGGGGGCGGCCCGGACCGAGCGGCGACGGGAACCCGGAGCGGAGCTGGCTCCGCCCCTCCGCCTGGCGCCGATTGGACGAGCGTCCCGTCGGTCAAGGCGTCGGCGCGCGGTGATTGGGCGGCGGGGCCGCCCTCCGGGGGCGGAGCCGGGGCTCTCGCGCCGGGCCGTTGGAATTGGCGGGAAGCGCTGTCAGTTACGGGGGGCGGGGCCGTCGGAGCGCGCGCGGGCACTCATTGGGCCCCGCGCCGGGACGCCGGGTTCTGATTGGCTGTTGGGGATGTCGGTCAAGAGACGGCGAAGGGGGCGTGGCCTGGGCCCCCCCGCGCTGCGAAGGGTTTGAAATCCAACGGCCGTAACGGTCCGCGAGGCCACGCCCCCTCCGGGCCACGCCCTGGCCACGCCCCGGCCGCCCCGGGTCCCGCTGCCCCAGTGCGGGGATAACTGGGACCAGTACGGGGACAGCAGGGATCAGTACGGGACAGAAGGGACCAGTGCGGGGATAGCAGGGACCAGTACGAGGACAGCAGGGATCAGTCCGGAAGAGCTGGGGCCAGTACGCAGACAGTGAGGACCAATACAGGGACAACTGGGACCATTACAGGGACAGAAGGGACCAGTACGGGGACAGCAAGGACCAGTACGGGATAACTGGGACCAGTACGGGGCCAGCGGGGACCAGTACTGCATAACTGGGATCAGTGTGGGAGAACTGGGACCAGTTCAGAGACAACTGGGACCAGTGCGGGATATCTGGGTCCAGTACGAGGATAACTGGGACCAGTGCAGGGACAGCGAAGACCAGTACAGGGACAATGGGGACCAGTATGGGGATAGTGAGGACCAGTACGGGATAACTGTGACCAGTACGAGGACAGCTGGGACCAGTACGGGGACAGTGGGGACCAGTACGGGATAACCGGGACCAGTGTGGGATAACTGGGACCAGTACAGGACAACTGGGACCAGTATAGGAGCAGCAGAGACCCGTACGGGACCAGTCCGGCCACTGTGACCACCAGTAAAGAAACCAGTACGGGACCAGTATGGCTACTGTGGCCACCAGTAAAGAACCAGTATGGGGCCAGTCCGGCCACTGTGGCCTCCAGTTTGCTCACGGTGCCCCCCAGTCCGGAGGGGGGGGAGGGGCGGGGGCCGGACCCCCCCTCCCAGGGGGATGAGCGGGGATGGAGCTCTAATCCCCCCTCCCCCACCTCCGGCCCTTCCCGACCCCCCCCGGACAACCCCAAACCCCCCCGACCCCCTCCTCAATATGGGGACCCCCTCCCCAAACCCCTCCGGACCCCCCCCATCCCCCCCTGTTCCATGAGTTCCTTTCCCCTCCCCCCCCTTTTTTTCCACCCCCCCCTCCCCTTTTCGGGGGGTCCCGCCCCCCCCCCCCCATCCGCATCCCCGGATCGGGGTCACCTCCGGGGGGATTGTCCCTAATCCCGGGCAATCCCCGTGACCCCCCCCGGGATTAGGGGGACACCTGGGGGGGGTCCCCAGAGGGTCCCTGGGACATGTAGTCCCCCCTGGGGAGGGGCAGGGACCCCCAAATGTCAGTCGGGACTCCCCAAATGTCACCAGGACCCCCCAAATGTCACCAGAACCCTCCAAATGTCACCTGGGACCCCTCAAAATTCCCCAGGACGCCCTAAATGTCACCCGAGACCTCCCAAATGTCACCCGGGACACCCCAAAATCCCCCAGGACTCCCCAGATGTTACATGGGACCTCCCAAATGTCGCCAGGACCCCCCAAATATCACCCGGGACTCCCCAAATGTCACCCGGGACCCCTCAAAATCCCCCCCAAATTTCCCAGGACCCCCTAAATGTCACCCGGGACCTCCCAAATGTCACCTGGATCCCCCAAATGTCACCAGGACCCCCCCAAATGTCACCCAGAACCCCCCGAAAATCCCCCCAAAATAACCCAGGACCCCCTAAATGTCACCCAGGACCTCCCAAATGTCACCTGGATCCCCCAAATGTCACTCGAGACCCTCCCCGCTATGTCCCCAAAGCCCTGCGGTGGCACCGGGGGGGGCAGGGGGACCCCAAAATCCAGGGATGGGGGGAATTCGGGGGGGATGTGGTTCCAGAGGAGTTTGGGGGTACAAGGGGGTTGGGGGGGTCAGGAAGGTTTGGGGGTCCTGGGGGGTCTTTTGGGGTTCGATTTGTGGGCATGGGACGACCCCAGTAAAATTTTGGCAAATCAAGGAGGTTTTGGGGTCCAATTTGAGATCCTAAAGAGCTTTTAGGGTCCAGTTTGGGATCCCAAAGAGGTTTTGGGGTCCAATTTAGTGGCACAGGGTGGGTATCAGGGAATTTTGGGATCCCAAGAAGTTTTTGGAGTCCAATTTGGGATCTCACAGAGCTTTTGTAGTCCAACTTTCAATCCCAGGGACCTTTCGGGGCCCAATTTGTGACCCAAGAGACATTTTGGGGTCCAATTTTGTACCCCAGAAACCTTTCGGAGTAAAATTTGAGATCTCACAGAGCTTTTGGGGTCCAATTTAGGATCCCAAAGAGGTTTTGGGGTCTGATTTGTGATCCCAAGCAGCTTTTGTGGCCCGATTTGAGCTCTCACAGAGCTTTTAGGGCCAAATTTGGGATCCCAAACACCTCCCAGTCCCCAATTTCCCACCTCAACGCCCCCAAAACCCCCAACCCCCCGCAGCACCCGGGGGTATTTCAGGACCACCCCCCCCCCCCCAATTACACCAGCACCCAATTAAGCCCTTTTAGGAGGGGGGGGGGCTCTGATACCCCCTGATCCCCCACCCCAACCCCGCTAATCAGGGCTCGGGGGCGATTAAGACCCCCCGAAAGCCGCTTGCCCGGCGCCTAAGCCCGGCTTGGCCAGCGCCGGCTCCGGGATGAGCCGGGCTCAGCCGCGCTTTACCTCCTGAGCCCCGATTATTGGGGGGGGGTCCCATCCGCCCCCCGCCCTATAAAAGATGCTCCTCGTCGCCCCCCACCCGCCCGTCCGCCCGTCCGCCCGCCCGTCCGTCCGTCACCGCCGCCATGCAGAAGTCGCGGGAGATGCGGGACGAGCTCCCCGAGGATTTCTACATCCCCATGACCCTGGACACCCCAAACGTGACGGCGCTGAGCCCCTTCCTGGTACCCCAGACCCACCTGGGCAGCCCCGGCATCTTCAAGGCCATGGCGGCCTTCATGTTCCTGCTGGTGGTGCTGGGCGTCCCCATCAACGCGCTCACCGTGGTGTGCACGGCCAAGTACAAGAAGCTGAGGTCGCACCTCAACTACATCCTGGTCAACCTGGCGGTGGCCAACCTGCTGGTGGTGTGCGTGGGCTCCACCACGGCCTTCTACAGCTTCTCGCAGATGTACTTCGCCCTGGGGCCGCTGGCCTGCAAGATCGAGGGGTTCGCGGCCACGCTGGGGGGTGAGGGATGAGGGGCAATGTGGGGGGGTGGTGGGGTTGGGGGCTTTGGGGGTGTGGGATGTGGGTTATGAGGTCATCATGGTCTGGGAGTGTTGGGTCTGGGGGCTTTGGGGGTGTGGGATGTGGGTTTTGAGGTCATCATGGCCTGGAGGTTTCGGGTCTTGGGACGTTGGTGGTGTGGGACATGGGCTACAAGGTCACCATGGTCTGGGAGTTTTGGGTCTGGGGGCACTGGGTGTGTAGAACATGAGGCACAAGGTCACCATGGTCTGGGGGTTTTGGGTCTGGGGGCATTGGGGGTGTGGGATGTGGGTTATGAGGTCATTATGGTCGGGGGGTGTTGGGTCTGGGGGTTTTGGGTCTGGGGGTTTTGGACGTGGGGACGTTGGGTCTGGGAGTTTTGGGTCTGGGGGCATAGGGTGTGTAGAACATGGGGCACAAGGTCACCACGGTCTGGGGGTGCTGAGTCTGGGGACATTGAGCTTGTTGGACATGAGGGTAGAAGGTCACCACGGTCTGGGGGTGCTGGGTCTGGAGGTGTTGGGAGTGTGGGGTGTGGGTTATGAGGTCATTATGGTCGGAGGGTGTTGGGTCTGGGGGCTTTGGGAGTGTGGGATGTGGGCTACAAGGTCAGCTTGGTCTGGGGTTGTTGTGTCTGGGGTTGTTGGACATGAGGGTAGAAGGTCATCATGGTCAGGGGGTGTTGGGTTGAGGGTGTTTGGTTTGGGGGTTTTGGGTCTGGGGGCACTGGGTGTGTAGAACATGGGGCACAAGGTCGCCATGGTCTGGGGGTTTTGGGTCTGGGGGTGTTGGGGGTGTGGGATATGGGCTACGAGGTCACCATGGTCTGGGGACGTTGGGGCTGGGGACATTGAGGATGTTGGACATGAGGGTAGAAGGTCACCACGGTCTGGGGGTGTTGGGTTTGGGGGTGTTGGGTTTGGGGTGTTGGACATGAAGGTGGAAGGTCAGCATGGTCTGGGGGTGTTGGGTCTGGGGGCTTTGGGGATGTGAAACGTGGGCTATGAGGTCATCATGGTCTGGGGGTGTTGGGTCTGGGGGTGTTGGGCGTGTGGGACGTGAGCTATGAGTCCATCATGGTCTGGGGGTATTGGGTTTGGGGGGCATGGGGTGCGTAGAACATGGGGCACAAGGTCACCATGGTCTGGGGACGTTGGGTCTGGGGGCGTTGGACATGAGGGTAGAAGGTCACAGTGGTCTGGAGGTGCTGGGTCTGGGGGTGTTGGGTCTGGGGACGTTGGGTTTTGGGTGTTGGACATGAGGGTGTCCAGTAGAAGGTCACCACGGTCTGGGGGTGTTGGGTCTGGGGGCATTGGGGGTGTGGGAGGTGGGCTACAAGGTCACCATGGTCTGGGGGTGTTGGGTCTGGGGATGTTGGACATGAGGGATGTGGGGTAGAAGGTCACCATGACCTGGGGACATTGAGTCTGGGGTTGGTGAGTCTGGGGACATTGGGTGTGTGGGACATGGGCTAGAAAGTCACTGTGATCTGGGGACATTGGGTCTGGGGGCGTTGGACATGAGGGTAGAGGGTCCCAGTGGTCTGGGGACATTGAGTCTGGGGGTGATTGGGTGTGGGGACACTGAGGGTATGGGACATGGGGCAGAAGGTCACCATGGTCTGGGGACATCGAGTTTGGGGACACTGGGTGTGGTGGCACTGCGTGGGGGGACACTGGACATGTGAGCTGTGGGGCAGAAGGTCACTGGGGTCACTGAGGACATCGGCCCTGGGGACAATTGGCCGAGGAGCGCCCGGTGTGGGGACACCGGGCGTGTGGCACTTGACATGTGTGGGGACATGAGGCAGAGGGACAGGGGTACACAAGGACATGGGGGCATGGGGACACCAGGGATGGGGGACAATGGGGACATGGGGACACCATGGCACTGGTACAGAGCGGTGTTCCTGTGGTCACTGGCTGTGGTGGCCATGGTGGGGATGGCACAGGGATGGTGACAGAGGTGTCACCTGTGTCCCCTGTCCCCAGGGATGGTGTCCCTGTGGTCCCTGGCTGTGGTGACCATGGTGGGCATGGTGACAGGGGTGTCACCCGTGTCCCCTGTCCCCAGGGATGGTGTCCCTGTGGTCCCTGGCCATGGTGGCCATGGTGACAGGGATGGCACAGTGGGTGGTGACAGGGATGTCACCTGTGTCCCCTGTCCCCAGGGTTGGTTTCCCTGTGGTCCCTGGCCATGGTGGCCGTGGTGGCCATGGTGACAGGGGTGTCACCCGTGTCCCCTGTCCCCAGGGATGGTGTCCCTGTGGTCCCTGGCCATGGTGGCCGTGGTGGCCATGGTGACAGGGGTGTCACCCGTGTCCCCTGTCCCCAGGGATGGTGTCCCTGTGGTCCCTGGCCATGGTGGCCGTGGTGGCCATGGTGACAGGGGTGTCACCCGTGTCCCCTGTCCCCAGGGATGGTGTCCCTGTGGTCCCTGGCCATGGTGGCCGTGGTGGCCATGGTGACAGGGGTGTCACCCGTGTCCCCTGTCCCCAGGGATGGTGTCCCTGTGGTCCCTGGCCGTGGTGGCCATAGTGGCCGTGGTGGGCATGGTGACAGGGGTGTCACCCGTGTCCCCTGTCCCCAGGGATGGTGTCCCTGTGGTCCCTGGCCATGGTGGCCGTGGTGGCCATGGTGACAGGGGTGTCACCTGTGTCCCCTGTCCCCAGGGATGGTGTCCCTGTGGTCCCTGGCCGTGGTGGCCGTGGTGGCCGTGGTGTCCATGGTGACAGGGGTGTCACCCGTGTCCCCTGTCCCCAGGGATGGTGTCCCTGTGGTCCCTGGCTGTGGTGGCCTTCGAGCGGTTCCTGGTCATCTGCAAGCCCCTGGGCAACTTCACCTTCCGTGGCAGCCACGCCGTGCTGGGCTGTGCCATCACCTGGATCTTCGGCCTCATCGCCTCCGTGCCCCCCCTCTTCGGCTGGAGCAGGTCTGGGGGTCCCAGGGGGGTCTGGGGGTCCCAGGGGGAATCAGGGGGTCCCCAAGGTTTGGGGGTTCCAATGGGAGCAGGGGGTCCCTGGAGTTCGGGGATCTGGGGAAGGTTGGGGGGGGTCCCAGTTGGGTTGGGGGGGGTCCCGGGAGGGTCAGGGGTCCTGGGGGTGTTTGGGGATCCCTGGAGAATCTGGGGGTCTCGAGGGTGTTTGGGGGTCCCTGAAGGATCCAGGGGTCCTGGGGGGGTCTGGGGGTCCCCAAGGTTTGGGGGTTCCAATGGGATCTGGGGGTCCCTGGAGTTCAGGGATCTGGGAAGGTTGGGGGTCCCAGTTGGATTGGTGGGGATCTCAGGAGGGTCAGGGGTCCTGCATGGGGTGAGAGGGTCCCTGGAGGATCCGGGGGGTCCTGGATGGGGTCAGGGGGTCCCAGGGGGGGGTCTGGGGGTCGCAGGGAGATTGGGGGGTCCCGAGGGGGGGTTGAGTCTTCAAGGGAGGTTGGGGGGTCTTGGATGGGGTCGGGGGTTTTGAGGATCCTGGAGAGTTTTGGGGGTCCCGAGAGGTTTTAAGGGTCTGGGGGTGGATTGGGGGTCCTGGGGGAGGCCGGGGGTATGGGGGGGGGGTTCGGGGGTCCCTCAGCAGTGCGACCCCTCCTCAGCCGTGCCCCCAGACCCATCCCCGGGGGTTGGGACTGCCCGGAATTGTCGGGGATTTTGGGGGGATCCCGGGGATTTTGCTGATCCCAGGGGCTGTTTGGGGGTCCCGGGCTGAGTCCGGGGTCCCGTGGGCAGTGCCCACCCCCCTTGCCCCCTCCCCAGCTCCATCCCGGAGGGTCTGAGCAGCTCCAGGGCTCGGGGGTCCCGGGGATTTTCGGGATTTGTTGGACCGGGAATCTCGGGGGCGGGTCGGGAATCTCGGGGGCGGTCCGGGGGTCTCGGGCTGAGTTTGGGGGTCCCATGGGCAGTGCCCACCCCCGGTTCCCCCCTCCCCAGCTCCATCCCCGAGGGCTGAGCAGATCCTGGGCTCGGGGGTCCCGGAGATTTTCGGGGATTTGTTGGACCGGGAATCTCGGGGCGGTTCAGGAATCTCGGGGGCGGTTCGGGAATCTCGGGGGGCGGCTCGGGGGTCCCGGGGGCGGTTCGGGGGTCCCGGGGGCGGTGTGGGGGTGACCCCCCGGTGCCCCCCTCCCCAGGTACATCCCCGAGGGGCTGAGCAGCTCCAGGGCTCAGGGGTCCCGGGGGATTTTCAGGGATTTGTTGGACCGGGAATCTCGGGGGCGGTTCGGGGGTCTCAGGGGCGGTTCGAGGGTCCCGGGGGCGGTCCGGGGGTGACCCCCCCGGTTCCCCCTTCCCCAGGTACATCCCCGAGGGGCTGCAGTGCTCCTGCGGCCCGGACTGGTACACGACGGACAACAAATGGAACAACGAGTCCTACGTGATTTTCCTCTTCTGCTTCTGCTTCGGCTTCCCCCTGAGCGTCATCGTCTTCTCCTACGGGCGGCTGCTGCTCACCCTGCGCGCGGTGAGGGGATCTTGGGGGGTCCCGGGGGTCTTGGGGGGTCCCGGGGGTCTTGGGGGGTCCCGGGGGGGGTCCTGGGGGCCAGGGGAGCTCAGGGTGCTGATCATCATCATCTCCTATGGGTGGGCGGTGCTCACCCTGCTCGCTGTGAGGGGATTTTGGGGGGTCCCGGAGGGGTCCCGGGGGGTCTAGGGGGACACGCGGTTTATTGGGGTACGCGGTTTATTGGGGGCACA